GTGGGTGTGTGCTGGTGTACCAGTATTGGGCTTGAACTCTTGTACTCTTTTTTTTTTTTTTTTTTTGGTCCAGTCATGGGGCCGCAACTCTGGGCCTGGGCGCTGTCCCTCAGCTCTTCAGCTCAAGGCTAGTGCTCTACCACTTGAGCCACAATGCCACTTCCGGCTTTTTTCTTTTTGCTTATGTGGTGCTGAGGAATCGAACCCAGGGCCTCAGGCATGCAAGGCAAGCGCTCTACCACTGAGCCAGTTTCCCAGCCTCGAACTCTTGTACTCTTGTTTAGCTTTTCCACTCAAGGCTGATGCTCTAACACTTGAGCCACACCTCTACCTCTGGCTTTATGTTCGTTAATTGGAGATCACAGTCTTTCGAATTTGTCTGACCAGGCTAGCTTTCAACATGAGCCTCAGATCTCAACAACCTCCTGAGTGGCTAGGATTATAAGCGTGAGCCACCATGCTCTGCTTTCTATTTACATTTGTGGACTTCAGTGGCATTGACATTATTCTGATGGCACACAGACATTTTGACCAGACATCACCCTTGACAGTAGTAGTTATAATGATTCCGGGAGTCAAAGCTCAGGGATTATGGGTGTGTTAGTTGGTTTAGGCGGTTAGTTTGGCTATGATCTAAGTAATTGCAGATGGCCCCTGCACCTGGATGTCATAGGGGACAAGACAGGCAATCTGGGTTTTTAGGCAAATTATGAAACCTAGAGGAGTCTGAAAACAACACAGAGCCCGGTGGGTCCCCACACAGGTGTGGGTGCCGGATCAGTGACTGAGCCCGACTTTTCCAAATTATTACTCAGCAGTTACACATAAAGCAAGCACCACACGGTGGGTCACAGGTTCAGCAAGCTAACGGTAAGTTCGAAGGGACTTTTCCTTAGGCTCGATTTAGCTAAGGCCAGTCAGGGCAGGAGATTTCTTTCTTTCTTCTTTCTTCTTCATATCCTTGAGGAACCATCCTGGATTTTCCCTCTTCCTTTTTTCAGTTGCTTATCAACGATTTGTTGAAGGAAAATGCACGAAGTGTTAGGGAGACAGATGCAAGCCTGGGGGTAAGGAAGAAGGCTAAATTAAACACCAATCCAGCATCCGCCAACAAGGCCTTGTTCTTTGTGCCTCTTAGCTGGGTAGTTTGCCTATTCTCCTGGAGAGAAATGTGGGACACTGCCCTCCCTCCCCAACCCCACACAGATGAAACCCCTTCTGCAGAGAAGCCCGTGACAGGAAATCAACGGCCGCACAGGAACTTGCTAATCGCTTTGGTTCCTGCTGTCTTCCTCAGAAGCGCAGCACACGCTGTGCTCAGCCCAGCACACACTGTGCTCAGCCCAGCATCTAGGCTGAGATCTTTTCCCAGCCCAACTTCATACTTTTAGTTCTTGTAATGTGAGTCAGTCACAGTCTGGGAGGAAAAGAAGGCAGATCCCAGAAGGAACTTACCTCAAGAAAAGGCTTTGACTCCACTGGTTTTTGACCTACCTGTGCCTACCAGCCAATTGGACTTCTGGAGTCAGTCATTTTGGTATGGAGAAATTTCTTTGATATTTTACCACAGGTAAGACTTTCGCCTCTTTGAAAATATTTCTTTAGGATCAATGGCCATCTTTGTGATTGTATTTGGCTTTTACTTTAGGCTAACTATTGTAATAACCTGGGTTTATGGATTATAAAGTATGGAACCAATTTACAGCAGGAAGGTAGTTAGTTATTCCATCCCGCCACCCCCCTCCCCCGCCCCGCTCCTTCCACAAAGTCCTGACTAGAATCCTAGTTTTTGAATCATTACAGATGGTGAGAGATAACTGAATTCAACTCTGTGGATAGTTTAAATATCGCCCTGTGCATGAACTAGACCTAAAGGTTCTAGCTTGTGTAGGTATCAATTTTCACATTTTCCAGTTATGAAGAGAAGCAAAATCAAAATCAAAATGGTGTGCATTTGGATCTGGACTTCCTACCTTCATTGTTTCCCCTATTACCAAATGCTATCGTCCTCTTTACTAAAAGGGCTGTGTGATGTACAAATATGTATTTGTGAGTTCAATTTAGTTTTTGATTGTGGTTGATTTCCCTTTGTACTGTGAAGTACCAATTAGTAGCCCAGAATGTAATTTAATGAAGTTTAGGAAATCACTGGTTCTAGGGGTTATGCTGAATTAAAGCTGCCATTGATGTGTTCAAGTGAGCGACAAATAATTGATCATTTACTGGCTGTAAATTTGTGTTATGTAGGACGTTAGATCCGAGTGCCAGGGGTTCATGCCTTTAATCTTAGTTACCAGGGGAATGAGAGCTGAGGATTGAGGTTTAAAGCCATCCCAGGCAGGAGAGTTTGTGCAACTCTTATCTCCAACTAACTGGCCAAAACCCAGAAATGAAGCTGTGGATCGTGTGGTAGAGTGCCAGCCTTGAGTGAAAAGCTAAGAGACAGTACCCAGGCCCTCAGTACAAGCTCCAGTACTGGTATGCGCGCATGTGCGGATGCAAGCATGTGCGCGCACACACACACACACACACACACACACACACACACACACACAAAAACAATCTGTTCTTTGAAGGGCCTTAGAATGTAGTAGTCATGTTAAGAAGAAGCGTTAGGAAACTGCAAGCTGGGAATGAAGTGATGAAACTGTGTAGACTTTAAGAGTTAGCCGAGTTCCAAGAAGGGGCCTGGGGTCAAGGAACATAAAGGCTGTGGAGGGAAGTGAGCTTGAGCAGATGGAGAAGAGAAGGAAGAAGAGAAGGGGAGGGCCATTTTACACTGGGAGGACCTTGGGGGCCTTAGTATAAGGGGAGTCGGATTGGGGGTGACCAGCCCAGTTGAAGATACTAGCTGAGAAGAAAAGAAAGTTTGTTCTACCCTAGCAGGAAACAGGATGAGAGAGGTAGGTGGGGATACGTTAGGGGGGACTCTGAGGGCCAACAGAGCAGAACAGATGATTTTCTACTCTCCTCATGCTTCTCCTTATTAACCATCACAATTCCATTTGAGGAGAGTTGGGACATCTTTGCCTCTTTGTCCTTGGGGTGGCTTTCTGCATCCCCATGTCTATCTATGACCCCCATCTATTCTCTACGAGTTTTCCTTGGTGCATCCCTCATTCAGAGAAAGGCCTGGGGAAACCCCACTTTTTTTTAGGAGACCCTTTTTCATCCTGTAATTAAAGTGGCAGTCCTCTGGAAGGAAGTTGGTAGACAGATAGGCAGCTCTTTATTCGAACGCTAGTCTCAAAATGCCACGAACTTTGTACTACTTGCTTGGCATAGCTGAATGAGATGTCAGGACACGCTGCTATTTTGTTTCTGGCCATTCCTTTAGATAGTCAGTACATAGTGTTTCCTGGGTCATAGCGAACATCAGAACAAACACACAGTAAGGTGAATGAGAACTGAGTCTGTGGAGCCAGATTGTCTGTCTTGTGTTGAATCCTGGTTCTATCATTTCTGGACTGTTACTTAGATGCTCCTGTGTTCAGATTCTTTAAAAAGTCTATAAAATAACTCTGAGTACAGTAATAAGGAAATTGGTGATATTGAAGAGAGGCTGGAAATTAATATTCTTGAGTGCTGAATACAGATGGACCAGACACAGAGATGAAGGGTTTTATAGTGGTAACGTAGATGCAAAAAGAAAACCAAAATAGGAATTGATTATTTTCAAGACTTTCTGTACTGGTTTCTCAGGCATATGAAAGTACTGTGTTTTCTTTGCAAGCATCTGGGTTGGTGTTGCTCTAATGCTTTGGACAAAATTAGATGAGTGGAAGCAGAAGTTGATGGAACAGCATTTCCTACTTGACTAGCTTAAATTAAGTTATTTAATTTTAGAGCATTTTGATTTTAGGGCTAGCAAGCCATAGCTAAAAAACCCATTTCTATTCAAGAGTTCAGGTCATTTTGACCATGAATGCTCAAAGTGCTATGTGGGCTCTGGATATTTGGGTCTGGGCAAATGCTAAGATTAAAAAGCATCCTGTTTGCTCTTTTTTCACTCTAGATTAAATTAAATTAGCAAGACCTCTTTAAAAAATTCAGGTACAGCTGGATGCTGCTGGTGGCTCATGTCTATAATCCTAACTATTCAGGAGGTTGAGATCTGAGGATTGAGATTTGTAGCCAGTTGGGGCAGAAAAGACCATGAAACACACCCCAAAAAGCAAGAAATGGTGATGTTGTGGTTCAGGTGGTAGAGCCCTACCCTAGTCTTGAGCCCAAAAGCTTAGGGACAGTGTCCAGCTCCTGATCTCAAGCCCTAGGACTGGCAAACACACACACACACACACACACACACATACACACACACATCGGTGCAGCTAGTCTGTTAATTATGCACGAGATTCTCAATTACGTGTTCAGGGCACTTCATTCAAATAGTGATACTGTTTTCTTTCTATGGACCCACTGAAGACACAAGAGAGGAAATTCTGGGGCTCTGGGGCTTGTAAAGGATGCATATAACTGAGAGTGAGGAGCCAGAAGGGAGGCTGAGGGCAGCATGATCATATTAGGGATTGGGGTGCATGGTGGAGAAGAGGATTGGGGAGAGGAAAGGAATGAATAGCGGTAGGAGAGAACGACAGAAACACAGGGCCCCTCCATGGCCCTTAGTCATTTGACACCAACAATTGCTTGAGTGCCCCCAACAACTTCATCATGGTTTGTACAAAAAAAAATGGTTATGCCTTGGGCTGGAGGCATGGCTCAGTGGTATTGTGCCAGCCTAGAAAGTATAAGCCTCTGAGTTCAAACATCATGTTCCTAAAACCTGGGTCATGTTCAGAGATAATGCTTTTTCTGATCCAGGTCTGCCTGAACATAAACCACATTGAGATCTTTTAAGAATTAGGAATTCTTATTCTTTCTATCTTAGTCCTTAGGATTCAGGAATATATATATATATATATATATATATATATATATATATATATATATATGATTAAAGAATCTAATTCCTAAAATGACTCAGAGTGGTGATTTTGCAGGTAGCAATTTGAAAATCATCGATCCAGAACTCTGCTGCCCATGGCCCAAACCAAGATGACAAACTGAGTAAGTATTGAAAGTGGTGAGTCCTTTTGGTCTTGATTGTGATGAGTCTGCACGCAGAGCGTATTTCCTCTGCTTGTAAGTTATTCCTTGGGATGAGTTCCTGGGTAGGAGATGATTAGGTCAAGGTTGTGAGGATTTTTAGCTCAATCATATTTACATTTTTGCTGTTGTTGTTGTTGTTGTTGTTCATCATGGGACTTGAACTGAGGGCCTAGGTGCTGACCCTGAACCTTTTTTGCTCAAGGCTAGCACTCTACCACTTTGAGCCACAGCTCCACTTCTGATTTTCTGGTTGTTAATTGACGATGAGAGTCTTACAAACTTAACTGCCTGGGCTGGCTTCGAACCTCAGTCCTTAGATCTCAGCCATCAGTGCCTAACTTCATATTTACATCTTAACACACCAACATAGGCCACTTTCTTTTAAACTGTCAAGCCTTATGCACTGGGATCTTATACGATCACCCTGGTAGAGAACAAAGAAAAAAAATTGCCTTCATGGAAGGAACCGCCCCCTCACCTTTCCATCTTTCTTTGTCCCCCAAAAATAGAATATTAATAAATTATTGTTGGGAGAAATTTCTAGAGCATTATTGAAATCTCAGTGGCTTCTTACAACAAATGTTGGAGCCTTCTTATCTCTACATTTAGTTTCTTGGAAAATTGAAGTCGGCTGTGACCTCTTCTCTATTTCGTGGAAAAGAAAACCAAGGAAGTGAGCGGTGAGGGGACAGGTAGTGTGGTTCTTGCACTCTGCGGCGACTCCACATAATCCTCCATTCAGTTTATTGCCAAAGTAAGTGAATGATTGAGCAGTGTGTAACGTGAATGGGTGCAGTGGGTAGGCATTTCATTGACTGAGTAGGAGCGAGTCCTCCCATTCTAGCCTTTTTTATTTGCATTATGGTTTTTTCATCATTTACATAATCTGCTGACCTAATAGTAAGGTCATAACTTGTAGAACAGGTGTGAGGAAGGTCAATTTTCAAAGGCTTTAATGAAAAAAAAAAGAAGTGCTCTTGCAAAATATGAACTGAAATATTTCCAGTGGTATTCTAGCGCCAGACTGTACTTGCTTGCAAAAGCAGGTTGTAATATTTCCAGAAATTTTGCAAGCCAGTGAAATTCTTTAGTCCCATCTATCTGTATGGTGGAAATATGATATTATAGTCTGCTATTTTATCATCTCTTCATTCTCCATTCAGTGATGTTGTATTGAGAGGTAAAAAATTGGCAATAAGAAGAGTATTTACACCATCAGCATAAATCAGTATCTACATCATTGAGTTCAAAGCCAGCCTAGGCTACACAGCAAGACCTGTCTCAAAGACAAATGGCAACAATAGCAGGACACAGAGCAAGGACAGAAAATGTCTTAGGAAGAGAGAAATGTTGATCTCAGAGGTGAGCAAAATAGGTGTGAAAACAGTTCTAATGAGAGGATCTGATTCTTTTTTTTTGGGCGGGGGAGTCCGGTCATGGGGCCTGAACTCTGGGCTTGGGCACTGTCCCTCAGCTCTTCAGCTCAAGGCCACTTGAGCCACAGCACCATTTCCGGCTTTTTTCTTTTTGCTTATGTGGTGCTGAGGAATCAAACTCGGGGCCTTGAGCATGCAAGGCAAGCAAGCGCTCTACCACTGAGCCACCTTCCCAGCCCCAGGATCTGATTCTTCTAAAGCATGGACTCTCCAATTCTACTGTGTGTAAGAATCATTTAGGATCCTCTGGAAAGGGGATGTGTTAACAAATACAGCATCTTAGATTCTACTTCCATGCATTCCCAAAGTGTGGGAATGGCAAGAAGGTGCATTTAACAAGTCTGATGGCAATGGTCTGTAGATCTTATTTTAAGAAACACTAAGAGACTAAAGGTAATAGTTTGGTTTGGTCCAGGGAACATATGTCTGTGTCCTGTGCATGCGTGTAGAGAGTGAAAGTGGAGAATGAGAGAGAGGTTCACAATCCAAGAGCTTATAATGTGAAGAAAATATGAGAACAAAGATATATGCATTTGTTATAGAAGCAAATTTAAGCCAGGAGGCTATGCTTAGGATACATCTTAAAGGATATTTCCTTCCACAGGCAAAGAGCTTTTGTCAGGCATTTGAAGCAACTGGGAATAGTTATGAACAGGGGAACTATAAACAAAGCGAGATGATCAGAGGTGAGCTTGAGGATACACCTATAATCCTAGCTACTCCGGAGGCTGAGATCTGAGAATCCTGGTTCAAAACCAGCCCTAGCAGGAAAGTCTGTGAGACTTTCATCTTCAATTAACCACCAGAAAACCAGAAGTGGAGCTGTGGCTCAAAGTGATAGAGCACTATCTTTGAGCAGAAAAAGAGACAGTGCCCAGACCCCGATTTCAAGCCTCATGACCGGCAATAATAATAATAATATGTGATATGTAGTAAATCTATATAATGGTAATGGATGTTCATTGTAGCAAATGCAACTTATGCTTTTAGCTTAAGTACACTTGAATGTTTTATTTGGAAATCTAATTGTCATTATCCCCCGACATATAAAGTCTATTGTGAAGAGCTTAAACATGGCTTCATAATGGAACAGAAATGCAGGTGATGCCGAAAAAGAATTAGTTGAATTAGCAAAGGGCAACTATGACCATCTTTCCTGAGGCTCTTTCTTCTAGTTGTCTTTTCTTCATTTTCATCCTCTGCATCTCAAGAAGAAGTATGTAGGTTATGGTGATCTTTCTATTAAATTCTAGGGTGCTGAAACTATCTGGAGAGTTTTCACATGGCAGCGTGTGTGTGTGTTGAGGAGAGTCCTATGTAAATTTGGATCGAAAGTTCAAAACCAAATTAATAGTTTTGAATTTTCTTAAGGACTGCCATCCAGGGAAGACCCATTATGTATGTAGATGGGAAAAAAAAGAAAAGTTTTTCCTCCAACTGGGGCTAGATGCCTTTGGTTTCAATTTGAAGTTTAGATCCCTAGATTGTTACTTGTACCCAGGGGGGAAAAAACCAACACCAATTTAAGCTCATGTCCTTTTCTTAACATATGACAAGCCAACCAATGAGTTTACATTATCTCAAGTTTTCTCTGACTGACCTTTCTTTGGAGGACTGAGATGGTTCTGCTTAAAAGTATTTCTTGCATTCACTCATGCTATTTGGAGTTTAAACATCCATGGTCCTTCCTTTGTAAATTTATTACTGATGGTTTGAATGTCTCAGAAGGGTATAGCTCATTATTTTATCCACCCATTATAGTCACTGTTTTGTCTTTGCCAATTTTGAATGTGCAATAGTTCTTAAGTACTGTATCACTAATACAACCAATGACCGAGTACAATATAGAATATATAACAAATTTTGTTAAGTGTTTATGTCTGGCTTAGAAACCTCTAGATTGTTATCAGTGTTTTTCTTTTCTTATAAATATTGGCCAAAAGTAACATTGACAAATAATATCACCAACCAGTCAGGGAAAAGAGCCTCTCTTCACTTACTAGGCACCATTTTACAGTGTGTTTTTGCATTATTGTGGATGACTTTAGAAGGCCTCTAGCTTGTTAGGCAAGCATTCTACCACTTCACTGATACCCTCCCCACACCCCACACCCAGCAAACCACTTTTAATGATGCTGGAGTTATTAATAGGTTTGTGAATGTCTTTTTAAACCAAGAGAGTTCAGTTTATGCTAGTCTAGAATGTAGGTAAAATGTAAAATTTTCTATTTTTTTTTTTGTCGGTCGTGGGGCTTGAACTCTGGGCTTGGGCGCTGACCCTCAGCTCTTCAGCTCAAGGCGAGCGCTCTACCACTTGAGCCACAGCACCACTTGTGGTTTTCTAGTGGTTTATTGGAGATAAGAGTCTCACGGACTTTCCTGCCTAGGCTGGCTTTGAATCATGATCCTCAGATCTCAGCCTCCTGAGTAGCTAGGATTACAGGCGTGAGCCACCGGCACCCAGTGATAGATGATTATTTCCATATTCTATAATGCCAAGAGATTTCCAAAGGGATCCTTTGAGAAGTACTTTTTTTTCTTATTCATCTTACACATTCAATTGGGGGAATGACTGACTTTTTTTTGCTATCGATCTTCTTGTATTTTTTAAGTATAATTTCATTGTTATTAAGGTGTTATACAGAGGGGTTGCCATTTCGTAAGTCAGGCAATGAGTGCATTTCTTTTTTGGACAGTGTCACCCCTTTGTTCACTCCAGTGTCTCCTTCCCATCCCTGCCCACCAGTTGCATAGTTCATTTTCCACAGAGTGTCTATGGAATTCTATAGACATTTGTACGTATATTTGTATGGCATTCCTTGTTCCTTTCTGCATTCCCTCTTTGCCTACCCTAAAAAGACAAAACAAAACCAAAAATAAAAAACAAACTTCAAAAGACATTCCTATTAGTTAAATCGTAATTGTATTCATTGTGGCTTGTATCATTTCATCAGCATTTTCCAATAGTACCTGCTATCTAAAAATATTCACTTCAAATGCTGAATATTAGTTGGAACATTATAAAATTCTTTCAAATGTGAGTAGAATCTCGTAGAATCTTTTTTTTTCATTTGTGCAATATTCCTGATTCCATTTTGCGTGCGTGTGCACATGCATGTACGTGTGTGCGTGTGCACATGTGTGTACATGTGTACGCTTCTTTCTGGCCTTGGCTTAGCGATAACTCATGGTCATGTTAGGACAACATTGATCAGAGTAGATGGGAGTTGGTCGTAGACACATAGGGAGTCAGCAATGCTTTTGGATGAGTAAGAGTAGGGTACGTTCCTCCATGTCACAAGAAGTTGCGTTTCTAGTACTGGCTCAAGTGTACCATGAGGCTATCCACAATGCTGTTATATCATAGCTCGGGAGATGACAGCCGTGGCTCTGGGGTGTTGTCTACATGCCAGAATGTGGACTGCACACGGTGGGGAAGGGGAGTAAGTCGGCAGGGGCAGAATCTTCTTTTGTTGTTGTTGGTGGTGGTCGTGGGGCTTGAACTCTGGGCCTGGGTGCTGT